TCTTTCTTTCTTTCTTGCTTTCTTCTTAACCGCGCAGTTCGTCGTCCGAGTTGGTGGCGCCGGGCGAGCCGTCGGTGAAGGGCAAGAAGCGGCTGGCGTTCGGCGTGTTCCAGAGCCGGGCGTCACCGCAGCGGTCGCGGCTGAAGCGGAGCAAGAAGGGCAAGAAGGACAAGGACGCGGGCTCGGGCGCCGACAGCGAGGGCGAGGGCAAGCGCAAGGGCAGCTTCATGGACAACAAGGACACCATCACCAAGGACGGCGGCAAGAAGGGCAAGAAGGGCAACAAGGGCAAGAAGGACAAGAAGGGCAACAAGGGCAAGAAGGGCGCCAAGGACGATGACAGCAGTCTCGCCCTCTCCAAGCGCGACGCCACGCAGACCTCGTTCGCCGATCTCATCGCGTGGACGCTCGGCGAGAAGGACATCACCCGCCTGGCCACCTTCTGGAACGGCCTGGGCGGGCTCACGAGCCTCGATCTCTCGTCGTGCGCGCTGGCCTTCATCCCGTTCGAGGTCTTCCAGCTCAAGAAGCTCGCCCGCCTCCAGATGGCCAGCAACTCCATCACCGTCATCCCGCCCGAGATCGAGAACGTGGCCTCCTCCCTGCTCGAGCTCGACCTCTCCAAGAACTACATCATGGAGATCCCGCCCGAGATCGGCTTCCTCCGCAAGCTCAACAAGCTCAACCTCCGCGACAACGAGATCACCGTCCTCCCGCCCCAGGTCGCCCTCCTCGTCAACCTCGTCCGCGACAAGCCCGAGGCCACCGCCGGCGGCGGCGGCGTCGCCCAGGGCCGGCCCGACATCGCCCGCGGCGCGCGCCCCGGCGGCTCGTCGACCCCCACGCCCGACCGCCGGGAGTCCCTCGTGGGCTCGGCTAGCACCGGCGGCGGTGGCGGGCCGGGCGGCAAGGACGGCGGGGCGCGTGCGCCCTCGTTCGCGCTCGACGTGGAGGACATCAAGTACCCGCCGCAGGAGGTGATGCAGAAGGGCCAGGCCCACTTCCTGGCCTACCTCAAGGAGCAGGCCTTCGAGGGCAAGGAAGCCATGCACCACTTCAAGCTCATGATCGTCGGCTCGCAGAACGTGGGCAAGAGCTCCCTCCTGCGCACGCTCTCGGCCGCGACGGACAACAACGTGACCGAGGTGGCCTCCACCGGCAGCGCCTCGGTGTCGGCTGTGCCCGAGGGCAAGGAACTGCACGGGTCGAGCAACACGGTGAGCTCGGGCTTCGGCTCGGCCACGTCCAACACGCTCAACCTGAGCGGCGCGTCGACGTGGAACACGGCGGGCGTGTCCAACTCGGCGCGCTCGACGACGGCGACGGACACGACGGACGCGTCGACCGAGTCGTCGCCGATGTCGTCGCCGCGCGGGTCGGTCACGTTCTGCACCGACGAGCTGCTGCCGACCAACGACGGCATCGCGAGCATCGAGGAGTGGTCGCTCGACAACGTGACGCTCAACGGGCAGAAGCAGTCCGTGCAGCTGAGCGTGTGGGACTTCACCGGCCAGGAGAGCTACTGGCCGCTCTACCAGACCTTCTTTGACGAGCGCGCCCTCTACCTGGTCGTCTTCAGCGCCGTCGAGACCGACCCGACGGCGCACCTGCAGCAGTGGCTCGACATGATCACGGCGCGCTGCGGCAAGGCCGCCTCGATCCTGCTCGTGGGCACCAAGTGCGACGATCCGTCGATCACGCAGATCCGGATGGACAAGCTGCGCGCCGACCTCACCGCCCGCTTCGCCGCCAAGTACGCCGTGCGCGGCGTCGTGTTTGTCTCCAACACCACCAACGCGGGCCTCGCCGACCTCAAGGCCGCCGTCGACGACGAGGTCTCCAAGGACCGCCGCGTCGCCGCCCAAAGCGAGGTGCCCAAGAGCTTCCTGCTCCTCCGCGAGATGATCATCCGCGAGCGCTACTACCGCACCCTCCCGCTCATGACCTGGCGCGAGTGGCGCGCCTTCGCCATCCTCGCCGGCATCGACACCGACGACCAGCTCCACGCCGCCACCGCCTTCCTCTCCGAGTTTGGCTACGTGCTCCAGCTCCAGCGGCCCCCCGCCGGCGCCGCCGGCTGCGACGACATCCTCGGCCGCCCCCTGGGCCGCACCGTCGTGCTCCACCCGCAGTGGCTCGCCAACTTCATGGCCTCGCTCCAGCTCGTCAAGTCCAAGTACGCCGGCGCCAGCGCCGCCGGCACCGGCCTGCTCAGTCCGTCCACCCTGCGCGCCTTCCTCAAGCTGCCCCACATCTGGCAGGTCCCGCCCGCCTTCCTCCTCACCCTCTACCACCACCTCGACCTCGCCCTCCTCCGCTTCCACAGCAGCGGCGGCGGCGCCAAGGGTGGCCTGCCCGACGACGCCGAGGTTATCCTGCCCGCGCTCCTGCCCGACCGCCCGGCCGAGCCCCACTTCTCCTTCCTGCCGCTCGTCGGGCGCGCCGACGACCCCGACAAGCGCGAGGGCAAGAAGAAGCTCAAGAAGAAGAAGGGCTCCCGCGCCGAGGCCAAGGACGACCTCGTCTACGGCCGCTTCTACTTTGTGCAGCACCTCATCGACGGCTTCTTCGCCCGCGTCATGGCCCGCGTCGCCACCTACCCCATCAAGATCCTCTCCTTCTCCCGCAACTCCCTCCTCTTTGACTTTGTACGTTTCTTCTTCCTCTTCTTCCTCTTTCTTCCTTCTTCCTTCTTCCCCTCCTCCTCCTCCTCCTTCTTCTCTTCTATCGAATCCCTCGAGCGGTTGGCCTGACGTGTGTTGTGTGCGACTCGTCTACCAGAACAAGGAGCGGGTGCTGCTCGAGCACTTCTTCGCCGAGGGCTTCATCACGGCGCGCATGCGGGCAGGCGAGGGCGAGACCGTGACCCCGGACACCGCCGCCACCCAGTCCAACGTGCCCCAGAGCGCCATCGAGCTCCTCGACGCCGCCATCGAGGGTGCGCCCCCCCACCCCGAGCCCCTCTCCCGGCATCCGCTCACCTCGGTCGGTGTGTGTGTTGTGTTGTGTGTTGCGTGCAGAGGTGGTGCGCGGATGGGAGTACGCGGGAGTGAGCGTGGAGCCGATGGTGCCGTGCACGAGCTGCCTGAAGGGTGCCACGTACCTCAACGACATCCACCTGTTCCCGCTCTACAGCCTCTACAAGGCGGCCCTCGAGGGCGCGTCCACCGTCGCGTGCCCGCGCGCCGCGTCGTCGCACCTCGAGGACGGGGAGCAGGTGAGCGTCGGCTCGATGCTGCCCCACGTGCCCCTCGCGGCCCACATCGAGTCCGGCGCGGCCCACTCGACCCTGCTGGGCATGGGTGCCTCGCTGCCCACGTTCAAGCTCCTGCTGGACGACGCCAAGAACGGGTACCCGATGATGGTGGAGCTGCTCCGCCTCAACACCCTCGAGGAGGAGCGCGACAACTTCTACTCGGGCGTCGTCGACTTCTACATGAAGATGAACAAGATCGAGCCCCTCCTCCACACGGCCTTCAACATCGAGATCAACTCCTGCCCCAAGGGTACTCTTACTCACTACTTCCCGCGAATTCCCGCGCCGTGTTGATCTCACACACATGTGTGTGTCCGTGTCGTGTCGTGTCGTGTGTGGCTTGTACCCAGACTCGAGCGCGCTGCTGTTCCGTGACGAGAGCGGCGCCATTCGGTTGCTGAACGCGTACATGAAGCGACTCGGGGACGGGTTCCTGCGCTACTCGATCAGGCCCCTCCTCCAGAACCTGCTGGGCTACCCGTACCCCCTCGAGATCGACTCGCAGCGCATGGAGGACCCGACCAAGGCCGCCGAGAACGTCGACAAGCTCATCCGCATCTCCCAGCTCTTCGTCGACCACGTCTGCAACTCCGTCCACGAGTGCCCCATGTACGTGCCCCCCCCGATCCTCTTCTCTCTCCGCATTTACACTCATTCATTTATATTTATATTTATATTTATATTTATATTTATATGTAATATGAATGTTTACACCTTCCCCAATCGTTCTTCGCTTCTGCAGTGGCATCCGTCGTCTGCTCAAGTTCGTGAGCGAGAAGGTGGCGAGCAAGTTCTCCGACATGCGCCTCCTGTCCCTCGGCAACCTCCTCTTCCTCCGCTTCCTCAACCCGGGCGTGCTCACGCCCAACCCCGGCATCCCCGGTACGACCAACCCAGTCCAGTACTCACTGTTCGTGTGTTGGTTGCTTACGCTTCATTTCTGCGCCTCCCCACCACCACCACACCCCGTCATATCACAGAGATGGAGCGTCATACGCGCCGTAGCGCGATGCTGGTGGTGAAGCTGCTGAACAACCTGATCAACGAGGTGTCCTTCGACGGCATGAAGGAGCCCTACATGCTCCCGCT